CTACGCGAGCAGAAGATCTTGCAACGAACTTTCTGCACGAACGTCCGACGACGTGCTTGATGAGGAGCTGTCTGTCCAGATGTGTATAAGAGACAGATATATATATATATATAGCATTAAATTAAACATTAATGACTGGTATGCTTTCTTTATTGGCTTTTTCTATGAATGGAATGACATACGAAGAACAGGCTCCAAACCCAGCACCGTTTTGGATTTTTAATCCTACGGCAAAATACTCATAATTTACATGTTTCAGAATTTTGTTATAATATAATTATTTTATATAATTATAATATAATTATATTATATTTATTATATTTATTGGGTAATTTATAATTATTAAAATCGTTAAGTGAATTCTTAAGATAGGAGCTAAACTTTAAATAATAACTATTTTTTCTCATGTAAATAGGATTTGATTCATCAAGACAATATTATAACAAGATAATCTTATGTTACAAATACTTGCCCTGTTAAGTGATATCTTTGTGTACAGTCGATGCACTCGATCCGCTGTTTCCTCTCCTTTATTTTCCAATTTTAACATTTTCAACAACAAACAAACAAACAAACAAAAAACAACACAAACACACACACAATCATGACAACATAATATGGTTTCAAGGAGCAGCAAGTCACGATCGTTAAAAATAATTTTAGTATTGCGAAACAAGGTGATTCCTGAGTTTTTGGTAAATGACCTTACAGAAACTGAGTTTAAAATTGGAGATGGTAAATTAAACCAGAGTATAGAACCAGTATCTAATATTGTGCTGAAAATAGTTAGTGTTATGATTAGGTAGGCCTATTCGAATATCTTTTCTGGATCGAGTACGATAATTGTGAATTGAGTGATTGAGGGTAAACATGTCACTTAAATGTTTGGGGAGAATAAAATTAATGGCAGTTTGGGTCTCCGTGTGTTTTTGTGAGTTTGTGCTCAGGCCTGTCCATCACTAGATTTTTTTTAGTGAATCTTCTCTCGCAAGTCCCTCATTTTGTCTCTTAATCTATTACAACTACTCATTCTTTCCAAGAACAGCGTCTGTCTGGGTCACATTACCGGAGTGTTTAGTGCTTGCAATCTCCGTTGAAATGTTCACTCTCAGCTTACACACCCAATGCAATTGTCTTTCCCATAAATTATACTTATGTATTGTTCTTCGTATTGCTTTTTTTAATTGTTGAATTGTTTGCGTTGCCTGTGGGCGATAGGGGCTATGGGTAATCGGGTAAGGTCCATTAGTATTTGGCTAATGGCCTTACCCAAGGAATTGAGCGGCCTTGCCCAAGATGAGCTCCGTTCCCTCCGGCCCGTGTTTGTTATTTTGACTACAATTGGAAGAAAATAAATGTCTATTTTATTATTGAATTGTTGTTGTATTATAGGCGTGTAATATACCAACTATACATATCAGGTGAAATGTAGCCGAGAGGTAGAGATGTACATGTTAAGTGTAAAGTTTACAATTCATAATTCATAATTATATTTTCCTCACACGAGATGGTAGCTAACAAAGGGAAATCTTCCCTGTACATGTGTCAGCTAACATAGCATTCACTGTTGGTCAAATCATGGAGGAATTATAATTCCTCCATCAAATCTAAATCTATGCAGATACACATTAACACCTGTTCAGCATCTGGATTAGGGCATGGTTGAATGTATGTAATACTTTTTCATATTTTATTTTTTCCCATTAAAATATATATATAAGGCCGGAAAATATTTAAAACATTATAAAATCTGCATCTTACTTCTCCAATCCGTCCACCAAACGAGGCCAAGCAAATGCCTCAAGTGGCAAGCCCATCAGTCACTCCCGGAAGGACAAACACACACACACACACACACATACACACACACACACACACACACACACTAACAGCACCCACAAACATACACACACACACACACACCCACACGCCGAGAGACACACACCCACACACCCACACACAGAGGGAGCTTATTGTAATGCCCTCTCCCCCTCGGGGGACGGGGTAATTGTTATGCTCTCCCGTAAGGACACTCACAGGGAGACAGAGAAAAATACACAGACAGACAGACAGATGGAGCTCATTGCAATAGCCTCTTCCCCCTTCGGGGGGTGGGGGTCGAAAGGGTAATTTGTAATTGTACAGTCTGGCTCCAAAAAAATATATAACAGAGTATAATATATAACTTAGATAAGACTATAAAATAGCTAAATATGCAGATATGTATTTAAGTATGGCCCCCATGGATCCTCGATAGGTGGAGAACACCCATAACCTGCTTCTTCAAACTCTAGCTCACACCCACTCCAGACTAGGTCCTCGACAATAATTCGTACTTTTGTGCCTTCTGACAGCCTGGAAAATGCTAAACAACCGGTAGTTATCATGACAAACCCGACGCTATGCATTGTGTACCATTGAAAATATTGTCTTTCCCACATGAAACCACATCACAGACATAATCATATATCTATATTTCTATTTTTTTTTTAAATGTAGGCCTATACAGGTATAACAATAACAGTTAAGCCAAATCACATATCAATGTTGGATAATTTATATTATTATATAATTCATCATTGCTTTCAGTTTTCAACAGTTAATTCACTGGCAATTTACCATCTGAAAATTCTGAAGCTTACAGTACCTGCAACAATGACCATTACTGACTCTGTTGTTGATCCAATGCTATTAGTAGCAGTCACCGTTATGGTATAGTTTGTGTCGACAACGTTTGGTACCTTGAATGTGAAAGTTGCTGGGTTTGAATCGACATTATCAATTCCAGGAGGATCAGTGATCCATTGGTAGGTGATGTCATCAGGATTAGCTAAAACATTTGGTTCAATAAAAGCATTCCCACCAGGAGCAACAGTCATGTTATCAGGTAAAGTAATATCCGGTGAATCTGAACAGTAGATATACGGTACAGTATTGTTAGGGATTCAGCATTTTGAATGAATCGTCAATATACAAAAGTTACATTTTGTAGCAGTCAATGAAACTACCCAGTTTTGTAATCATAAAATATACCAATAATTGGTAGGTAGGTACAGGTAGGTATCAATAAAACTACCAAGTTTTGTATTCATAAAATAAAACAATAATCTATAGTTGTTTATTTACTGCCCTATATGCCAGGAAGCTGCGGCATAATGGGCAACTACTGTAAATGAATACAATATAAATTTACACAAACACCAACAAATTTCAAGGCCTTTTATATTTAGTAGTACTATATACAAAAACTTGATATCCTGTAAATTTGCAAATTAGAATCTGAAGTCATTAAGAACAAATATTCCCATTAATAACATGATTGAAAGTTGTGTTGCATACATTGATATTATTTAATACAAATAAATATAATCTTTATTTAAAGAAAATTAAGACCACTTACACTGAACATCCAACACTTTAATTGGTGATGTACTAGTTCCAGCCATGTTACTTGCTTTACATTTGTAGTTTCCTCCATTTCTCTTATCCACACTATATAATTTGTAAGTTAGATTTGATGATGTTTCGCTTTTTACTTCAGTATCATCTTTCAAGAGAGTGATTGTTGGAATTGGATTCGCATTTACAGAACAATTAAATGTTACATTATTACCTTCAGTGACAGGATTGGGAATAACGTCAATCGTAACTGTGTCGATAACTAAAAATGACAGCAAATTAAGAACTATAAAGAACTTCTGTCTATACAAAATATATTTTCTCTATAAAAGTAATCTCTCTAAACCAGGTATTGCTTGCCGAATGTAGTTGATTCTTAATTCTGATCTGCCATTAATTTCATGTCATTATATCCACATAATTGCTATTTTATTTGACGATTGTACATCAAATCTGTTTTACCTTTTATTATTATTATGATTTACATTACAATTTATATTTTAATGATTTATGAAAACCATACTTTGAAAATGATGATTGTACATAAATATTTAATATACAGTATAATTTTTGCTGGGTGTTTGAGCACTGAGATAAACCTCGAAGAAAGTTAATGGGACAATCTCCCCAGATATTTTATATATATTTTTATAAGGATATTTTTGTATATTTTTATTATTCAGAATCTATTTTTATATTTTCAATCAACTTTACCGAAAAAGCACCTCCCTGTGTGGATTCTATGATATTTTCTATGCAAATCATGTTGAGTGTTTTAGTACGGGAACTATTGATAATCACAGAGGACGCTGAAAGTAATTCAGGTCTGGACACTCAAACTAACATGTAAGTGCAATAACAATGCTAGTGGTAACAATCATGATTCCATATCCAGTTTGATTTATTTCAATGCACAGTGTTGGAAAGGAAGGGGGCTGCAGAATATACTCTGTATTGGATCTCCATCCATTCTTTGTGTCACTGAATCTCATCTTTATGGGTTTTCTCAGACACTGAGTTATGCGCCATATATTTGTTTAAAAAAAAACAAGCAATTGCAATCGTAGAGGAGGCGGTGTTTTTACTGTTGCTTGCCAAAAGTTCAATGCTTGCCATGCAGATCAATATGATGTACCTGTCTTGAAATTCTATGGACCAGGGTGTAACACCATACACATTTTGGGAAAGTCATAATAGGTTGACAGTAAGTAGGCCTATTGATAAGTTTTTTCCTGACAGCCATCTCTATCAAGCTATTATTTTGACAGGTAATCTCAATCATATAATAATTTTAATATAATTATTTTAAAATAATTTTTAAAAATATTTATAACTCCATGGTCTACCCAGCTTAGTAAACTTCGTGTAGAAAATTCGATCAGTCGAGATTTCCACCCGAAGCTAAAGGAGGAAAGAAATTATTATCATGACCAGCTACAGCGTCAGTTGATGAAATAGTGACATTGACTTGACTGTAGACTCCTAAGACAAGATTAAAACAAAATCAACCTACTGTATACAAAATCCTTTCACAATGATATACTTACACTGGACTGTTAGTTTGGCAGGAATATTTCTCATAATACCAAGTCCACTACCTTGAATGCGACAGAGGTAATATCCTTCATCACTTCTTGTTGTATTTGTTATCACAAAAAAGACTCGATTATTAGTCAAGTCCTCTTCAACTCTGTATTTACTCCCAGGAGCAGATGTTGAGCTTGAATCCACAAGTGTATCACCTTGATTTCCATCTACATCACTTTGTATCAGAAAAGAAGCTATGTAGGGCCTAGTTTCTAACATAAATGCACACTCCAATCTGGCATCATCACCAGCTACAGCCTCAGTTGATGGAAAAATGACACCGACTAGACTGTTGACTCCTAAGACAAGATTAAAACAAAATCAACCTACTGTATACAAAATCGTTTCACAATGATATACTTACACTGGACTGTTTGTTTGGCAGTGATCATTTGAAGTAACATCAAATCCACTATTTTAAATGAGATAGAGGTAATATCCTTCATCACTTCTTGTTGTATTTGTTATCACAAAAAAGACTCGATTATTAGTCAACTTCCTTAACTCTGTATTTACTTCCAGGAGCAGATGTTGAGGTTGAACCCACAAGTGCACCGATTTGACTATAGACTCATGAGAAATACATTGATTGTTGTTTTAAGGTCCTAAAATACAGTAAAACCCGAATAAGAGAACAAAATTGGAACCATAATATTATCCCCTTAGAGGGGTGTCTCGTAATATTAAAATATATACTTTCTCATTTTGTGGCTGTAAAAGTGTTCTCTGAGGGGTGTCTCAAAGTAGGAGTTCTATTTCAGTTGAATATTTTCATGGTTAACTGTGGCCTCCCAGGGGCAGGTCCAGATGAAGTGGGGGGGGGGGGTGATACAATTTGTGGGTTCAAAAAAATGTTATTTCGTAGATGATCGGATACATGCATTTTCCTGCATTCTCGGGGGTATTTTAAAGATAGATTTCTACAAATTTATGAAATGTTCCTGTGTGAGTAATGGAAAATGATGATCATGAGGCTTGGGTTTATGATGACATAGGAAGGATGGGATCGAACCCAGCACCCCATTATGATTGCGGCCAGAGGCCAGAAAGGTTCTACCGTATATTCTGAATGTAGGGCCAACTAAATTGAAAAAAGCAAACTTGATGATGTGGTAGAGAAATTTGGAGGGGTCCTCTTCGTGAAATTTTGTTTTTTAATGATAAATATCAAGGACATTCTTGTGTGTTGAGTATTTGGGTCAAACGTATGCAGTGGCGTAGAAAAATATTTTTCATTGGGGGGAGGGGATGATTGGCGTGTTAGCCAGTGTCGTAACAGGCGCGGGGGTGAGGGCAGGGGGAAAACTGCCCCTCCCCTGCCGGTTTTTACCGGGCTGACCAAGCCGTCGTACCGGGCTGGGTAATAAGAGAAAAGAAAGAGGGGAGAGGGAGGGGAAGAGGAAAAGAAAAGGAAAGAAAAAGAGAAAAATAAAGACAAGAATAAAAAGGAAGATATCATAATGACCAGACTCACAACACCCTGCAACCCCTTCTCCACTTCAAAAACTGTCATAACTCCTTTGATCTATGCTGCCCAATGGCGTAACCACTGGAGGACAAGGGGAAAATAACTATCTTTGAAAAATCTTCCCCACCCCTTTATAAATGCCCTTTCATCCCCTGAAAGTGCCTAAAAACCTCAAATTTCGCGCACATTTCTTGTTAACATGGCCCAATTTCCTCTAAAAATTGCACATTTTAGGG